TGGCGCTGCGGCGAGGTCTGGGGCGGAGGCGGGGGCTTAAAGCGGCGGGCGGCGAGGTGGGTGAAAGGGCGTGCGCGCCTCGGTGCTCCGCTGCGAAAGCGCTCAGAAAAAGGGTCATTTCCTGCCCCCAAAGCGGCCAGGCTTCAGCTGGAGGGTCGCATGTGCCTGAGGGGTATTCCATCCCTCAGAGCGGGAGGAGGGATTCCCCTCGCCTAACTTTAGCAACCTGGAGTTGCGCGTGCGTAGCCGAAGCTAATCCTTTGGCTTTCCCTGTAGTCAAGGGGACGCAGAGGTTTCCCGAGGGCAATTCCTCTCACCTACTGTAGAACCTGTTTTTGGAAGGGATGAACTGCCCTAAGGAGACGCTTGTCTCTTGCCATCACCTAGGCGGGATATTTAAATGTTAGGTGTGATGACTCCAACAGTGGTAGTGTGTCCACATCTGGCTGCAGCCGCGGTTGCGAAGCACCCTCAGTGCTGAATAGAAGAGGCTCTATGGCTTGTGTCATGTCAAAGATCAGAAGGCTCGATCATAATCGTCCATCCCTTCCTAAAATCTGTGAATCATCTCCTAGCTAATGTCAATACATACTTTTACCCATCAGTATGCACGCTGTGCAAATGAAGCGCATAAATGACTAGTTAATCGTTTCACTTAGTTGCTTGTTTTGATTGCTAACAGTTTTTGTCATAGAAAAATAGGCACTTTTTCTTTCAGTGCTTGTGGATTATGTCCATCTTCACTGCTGGCTCCCTGTTTTAAACTTTTTTTTTTTCCAGATTTTTGATCTAATTAACCGAGAACCACAATGCCATGTATCATGGTCGAGAATGTACATTCTTAAATAAATGTAGTGAATTTCAGTTTTGGATGGTACAAGCTGCACACTTAAGTTTATATGTGTCAAATACTGAGTTTCTTAGATAGAGACGTGTTTACTTTGAAAGACCTTTTTGTTTTTCCATTCAAATATTTATATGGCTATCTTTCTAGAGCAGCATTTTTTTCTCATTAATTTTTTAACATATGCAAAGGCATCAACTCATAAATGGAAAAGAAAAATGGTTAAGTTTATTTTTTAGTGATATGTCATTCAAAGACTGACATCAGTTATTTATCATTGTAGTAATTATACTAATCTGTTGATAGTCACAGACTTCCCATGTGTCACAGACTTGGGGACTACAGCCTCAGACTCACCTGAATTAAGTTGATTTACAGCCATTAAGGATGTAGAACTAGAAAGTGAATTTGAAAGAAAAATGAATAATAATAAAAAGGATTCTATTCTAATTTGATGCATTTTAAAAGTTTTATGAGACTAAGAATAACAGGTGGATGTTATTAGTCTCCGATTTTGTAAACAATTGGTAGATATTATACACTCCTTTATGGCATAACTTTCATCAACTCCAACATTTTAAATTAAATTATGAAGACACTCTTACAGTTAAAACAGTGTTTTTTTAAAAATTATTATTACTTTAATATGTTTCGTTGTTAAAGCTAGTTCAATTTAAAGGCCATTTTCCACAGGTAAATCTTGCACCAACAGTTGCTGTTTTCTAAACACTTTACATTTTTCCTGTTTAAAGTCTGTATCTTTTTAGGTTGCACTCACACAGTTCACACTTCCCACATTTGCCAATCATCAAGGCTACATGGAGTAATTTTTAGACAATTCTAAACAAACAAAACATTATTTCATCTTTTCCATGCAAAATAGTGGAGAACAGATTGCTTCAGTACTGCATGGTGCAGAAGGAAGGAGTCTGGGTCTAAGAAAGGCTCTGCACTTCTAACTATGTGGTATATCTCCTGCCAAATTTTAACAATTTTCTTCATGTCTCCCGTGCTTTTACAGGTCTGCTCAATGAGTCTATCCTGGCTCTTGCTGAAACTTGCTCCACTTACAACCCCGTACCACATCTTTCCATGACCTCTGTTCAACACACCTTCACAATCTGTTTTCTCATTATATTTCAGTTCTCCTGGCCGCGTACTCGGGCCACATTAGGGCTTCATGCACTGCTTCTACCCCTCAAGAAGGACTTACCCCCTCAGTTTGGAGTTTCTCTCCAATCTCAATTTTAAATTATGGAAAGTGTCAAGAAGTTACCTTAAAAAAATCTTACAAGCATATATAAAATGTCATTAAAGGATGCTACAGAAAATCATGGAAATTATGTAAAACAAATGCTCTCAGTTTGGAGGCTTCTGCTGAGATTAGAGGATGTAACAAAAGCGCCACACAGGGTCCACAGAAGTATTTTGCCGTGGCCTACTGGAAAGGCTTGCTTTGTCTGAGCTATTTTGTTTAACACGATTATCATCTCTTTCAGACATTCTATTTCTGGGAGCTCATGGAGGCTTATTTAGCATGGCAGTGAATGAAGACTTACCTGCTCTATTAGACCGTGGCACTGGCAGCGTAGTGTCATGCTGTTCACATTCATATTCACCAGCTTCAGCCTCATTAATCAGAGGTCATAACCTCCTTACACTGGGACATGAGAATGTGCCATTAGTCCATTGTTACTAACCCTAACGATATTTTTTCTCAGATCAGGCACAGGAGAAAAGTCTGACCAAGTCATCATCTCTGATTCTGTCCTGGACTACTCCAAGGCAGTGGGCTTACATTTTTCTTTGTTATTTTTTCCTTTGGTGTCTTTTTCCATGCTTGGCATTTTTTCATTCACTTTTGCATTTATGTATAATTTAATACAGTGAAAACTCCTTTAAAATGTGTAACAAAATAGATCCCCAGTAGCTTATTTTTTAAACCTTCTCACTATCTTGCCTTGAGCTGAGCTTTGGAGCCTTGGGCCCCCGTGGCTAAAAGTGGAGCTAAAACCTCCACTGATTTCAGTGAATGGAGAATGTTTGTGCAGAAAATTATAGGAATGCATGTTTTAGTAAACAACCAGAGAGAAAAAAAAAAAATGATGATAAAGGTAGGAACTTGCCAATGTATTATAAACTTTGTGTGGACAATAGATGTCTGTCCATTGCAATTCTGTTAAAACTGAATCTCAGATGTCCAGAAACTCACCTCTGTTTCAGGTTGTAATCTGGTCTGCCCAGGGGCAGACATGAAAGATACCAGGAGGGACCTTTTTGGCCTGAAATTATATAAAGTCACGATGTACTTGTTCTGTGCACACAGGCAGCTGCCTCCTGTGTACCGTCATTACAGTCTCAGTGTACCTAAGGCCTCAGAAACATAAGATGCTAGTCCTGTGGGAAACCTGAAAAATAAACTGCAATCTTGATCACAACTGAAGAAGCTGATAGGGTTGCTCACTTTTTACAAATGGCTGAGAGGTTTGCATACTTATTGCCCACCTACCAAGAAAAGGCCATAATGCTTAGGTCCGGGATATTCTGGGTAGACGTGTGTCCTGCCAGCCCTATAGCAGCAGGGGCACTTTATAATGAATTACCATTTCTACAGACAACTAGTCCAAGAGTTTCTTGTGATTTTACTCTTTATGCTTTGGCCTGCTTCTGTCATTTTTATCCAGTGGTAGTGAAATATAAAAAGGGCGAACTCACTGAAGATGATAAATATAGCTGCAGTTTTGCCCTTTGGCTCTTGTCTGCTCTTCTGCTGGCTTCTGATGGCTTCACGATTCTCCTCTTCCTAGGACCACTTTCTCTGTAGCTAAAACAGGCCAGAGGCTGCTCTTTGGTCCTAAGGTATGGTATAACCATATATCCATACAACTAAACTCTCTAAACTCCAAAATCGGGCAACTACGTGCAAGCTACCTGTTAGGAATTGCCCCTAAGCTATTTTAATTCCTGAACCGTATGCTACCAATTGAATAGTATGAATAATACTGTGCTGGTGCTTGGACTTGTGAGGAGAGGTGAAGCACGACCGAGGGTATTTTTGTCTGAGCACACAGAGTAAAGACCTAAAACTTAGGACTTTGCTTCCTGGTGATGTGATGCAACAAAAACCTTTTGTAGAAAAGATTTTGAGGAAGGATGAGAAGACAATACCTTTTTTTTTAAACATATTTATCTTTAGAAGGTGGTTATGTAGACAGCATCCTAAATGGGGCAGTGGTATCGCTTTTCATTTTGGTAGCTGTCAGGAGCAGCAGGGCAGGCTGGCAGCCAGGGCAGGGAAGTGCGAGCCGTGGATGACCACGGGATGAAGGCTGTGCCCCCCCCGCACCTTGGTGGTCCCCTCTACCAGGCTAGCACAGCCACTGGGACAACCCCAGCCTTGCCACAGCC